ATTAAAATATGTGTTTTAATAATTTATATTGGCACTTTGTTTTAGTCATACACCAAAAATGAAGGATGGGATGCATTCAAAATTTGTTTGAAACATGAAATTAAAACTCCTAATTAATAATAAACTTTAGGTTGAATTAAGTTTCATTTAATTAAATGTTTGTGTCTCTTTTTAATTACTTGAGTAACTTATTTGTTTTTAATCCATAAATACTTACAATAGATACTTAAATTAAATTTTTTCATTGATATGACTAATGAAAAACTACATTTCAAAAGAAATATAACACAAATAAATTGTATTAAGAACACTAAACGAAATCAAATTTTTTATGTATAAAAGTACAGATTATTGTTAATTGCATAGGAAAATATATTACACATGCTTGTTTTTTTTTTATAAGTACAATATTCATTATTAATAGGATACAGTTTGTACATCCACTTATATATTTGTCATTTGTCATAATTGTTTATATAATTAAATATTTTTATTATAGTTATAAGCATTTGTATTAAAAATAAATAAATATTTCTAACTCTTATATTGACATATACAATACTCTTATTAATTTTAGAAGGCCATTGATTAGCTGAATACTTGAATAACGTATCTTAACATCCAGGAAGAATACTGCAACACACATTTAAAATTTTATTGAATACAATATAAATATAAAATCAACATATAACAAATTTATGTTTAACTGAATTTGTCAAAAGCATTCAAATTCATCTTAGACTATTCTAATAACACAATATTGTTCAAATGGAAAGAATTATTTAAAAAAATACTTGATAAACATTACTTTATCTATGTCCATTTTATAAATTGTAATCAATTGCTGCCTGTTTGCATTAATGAATTGTGATGTGAATGTATAACATACAACCTAATCTTTTCATTAATTTTTATCAGCAGACTTGTGACCATTCTAAAATGGGCCTAATCGTAATTTTTTTTTTTTTATTAAGTATTTAAAAATAAAAGCATGTACCATCACTGTATTTCCAAAATGTTTTTAACTTAAATAAATATTTAGACTTACCGAACAAAATCTCCAGTTGGATTTGCAAATTTGTTTCGTACCAAAAAATTTGACAAGATACTAGCAACTTTTTCCGGATCATCTTCTTGTACAGCATGTCCAACTCTAGGTAATACTTGCATTTCAAATTTACCTAATGGTGTAAAATAAAATAAAATATTTTCTAATTGATGAACAATTCAGAATAATACAAATAGACATTTAATTAACTTTTACTWTGAGTGATCATTCATTAACACAATATTATGTTACCTTGCATTTGACCAACAGTCAAGTCTTTGTCCATGCGATCAATATTAGCCAGTAATAATAATTTTTGCGCATGTATTGATAAAAATTTTTTAGAAAGTCCTTGAAACCATCCAGGCCAATGTTTTTCTGTCTTACACAAATCAATTCTCCATGTGTAATTACCCAATGATTTTTCATTCTGGAAAACATAAATTCATATAAATTAACATACATGTACCTACAATATTATTATTCACTAGTTTAGTTCATTAATTTTATGATATACAGTATGCAATTGTATTTTTAATGTTGGAACTAGAAAATTTCATTCAGTTGTTAGGTTTGCCATGTCCGTTTATATTTAGCGAAATGTAAACAGACACTGACCCAACGGCTGAATGCAATTTGTTGATCCCAATGTTATATATAGGATGGCTTATCTGTATTTTATAAAATTAATGGTTAGTTATACTGACAGAAAATGAAGATGCGCCAAATTCTTCATCTTCTATAATAGAATCAATTGAATATTGGGATTCTGAGACAGCTTCTGTTAATACCGGAGTCTCAATTATTGGTTCTTCAAATTCATCTGTACCAAGTTTACCAGTGGCAGTACTAAAACCATAATAATTAGTGATGTTTAAGTAAAAGTTAATGTATATTATACAATTACTTTTTTATCTGTCCTGGAATAGAAACTCTGGCAGATTCTTCGTTTTTTATATGACCATTCCCCATTCTAAATTTGCAAACAATTACAAGATACATACAATTAACACTAAGAAGGTATAGCTTTCTATTAATAACTTTTGAAAATGTGTAGAGTTAATATAATATAAATATATAATTAAGCTAAATATTAATTAAATATAAATTTGCTATGTTACGTGTTGGTAGTCTGAGACAACAAATACGGGTGTTGCGCCCTCTTAAATCTAAATCTTAAACATGATATATTATGTACATACCCCCATGAAATTGCATCTGTTAAACTTTTAAACGATTTTGGACGACTTCTTAAAAAACTTTGCATACTAGTTAATGATTCCATTGCTGAACCTTCAACTACATCGATAACAACCAAACCAATAATTGGCAAATCTGATTCTGCTGTAGAAGCAATATTTACAGCAATAGCTCCTCCGAGACTATGACCCATTAAGACTATTGATGGCATTTTGTCTGGATATGATTTACGTAGTAAACTTATGATATCACTGCAATACATTTTAATAAATTCAGTTAAAATATTCTAAACATAAATTTTAATATATTTCAAAATATAGCACCTAGTAAAAGTTGTCATGGATAAATCATTATCGTCTGTTGTAAATGAATTCCCATGTCCTCGAAGATCAATTGCTAAAACTTGGCATTCGCATTGTTTTACTAAATGTTTCTAAAAAAAAAAATTTACATTACAGCCATTTGAAATACTTGAGCACAATTTAATATAAAATAATAATGTTGTATTAAATATTAAATTATAAATCATGTTAATATCTAGATAAGTTTGAGTCATAGATTAAAATTGTTTTCTTGTTTGAGTAGTAAAAGAATTTAATTGTGTTTTCTATTATTAATACATATTAGATGAAGAGTTGAAGAAAACAAGTTATAACTTTATGAAATGTCATTTAGGTGGGTTAATTTTTCAAAGCAATCACAAGAATACGTCTTAGTATACTCACTAACATTAAAGTTGTTAACAAAATTAAGTATTTAAAGACTAAATKAATGTGTTTGCATTGCTTAATGTTTACATGCATATCTACATAATATATAAACAC